ACGAAATAGCAAATTTACGTGAACATTTCGCGCTGTTTCGTATTTAAACGTATTTCCATGGTGACGCGTAAAGACCAAGAATAGTTACCTTTAACTGTCGAAGAGATGGTGGGCCACGTCTTTTCATCTCAATCGCGAAATAAATTCTGGGCAGAAACATGGAATACGTAAAGGCCTAAGTTCTGTTCGGGAAATTTCACGCTACAAGACCAAGAACAGTATTAAAAAACCCGCGTTGTTAAGTTGGTTGGATTGAATCAACCCAGGCCAGGTTCTAATAGCCGTATTTTGAAACGATGGTGATGAACACAGAATCCCCAAGAGACGATTTCTCAATCAGCAGCTTAACAAAGTCTCACAGCAGAGCTTAGAGCCATGAAATAAGAGGGTGATTATGTAGCACAAACTGGAAAGTACACGGATGGTAGGAATGGTAACTAATCTCGAGTTAATACACCAGCACATGCCTGGAAGGACTGAGGAAAATCTAAAGACGGCATGTTCCAATCTAGATTTAAATGTGCATTAGAAAAGTTAAGTCAGTACACAGCTGGGACATTTCAGTGCAACGCTTCCCTCCGTCCTGCGCGGAAAGGTTCTAATGCATACAACGCTAGGAACTCTAAACAACAGAACGCCAAAGGGAATTTTTGGACCGCATTGTGAGAACTTACAGAAAATGGTAATTAAACACTCAACAACTCAAAATATTTCATCAGAACTCACCGGTACATTGCAGCGGAGGGCGTGGGCCAGGCGCTGGTGAGAAATGTCTCTCTCTCTCTCGTGCGCATAGTTTACTGAATAAGTACACAGGAACCATCTATATGTATATAATACGCAGGTTTTAGATGCTGTTTTGTCGAAGCAATGCACCGGAACAAAAGCACAGGAATTGGAACCGGCGAATATCCTATATCTTGGACACCCCTTTTGTTGTAAGTTGGACAGGTTCGTGCACTTAAGCTTCGGTACTTTTCAGGGAAACGTTCACAGTTACATATTTTGTTGTTTTGAATTACTGACTGATGAATGTCTTCTGTCTGGAGGATTAGCCTACGGTTCAGGGGGTAAGAGACGTGAGATGCAGCGAAAGTGTCTCGTTATTCTTTCTTCGAACCCTTAACTGAACTACGAAATTGCAGATACAGTTTTAACTCCACCAGGACTGCGCTTGAATTTGAGTTCAATCTTTGTTAACAGAAACGGGATTTTCTTTTTGCGATGGGGAAGGGAAAATTTATGGAATTAACTTTATAAAATTTCATTGAGTCTGGGGTGTAATGTGCAACGAATCGGAAAGATTATTGTTGATGCTACTTTTGACGGGTATTTCTCCAGCATATTTCATATCAGGAATCAAGCAGAGCTCGCAGAATGCGTACAAAAAAATTATGTACAAAATTATGACAGAAATGTGAAGCATCAATAGAATGTTTGACGCACATATTCAGTTTGCACCACGAACATCGGATTAAAGGTCTATTTGCACATTCCTCTAGTTCGCAAACTTGGCTGGTTCTGCGCTACAAAAGCCTGAGGTCGCAGATCAGCGCATTGCGTGGCATACCACGAGTACCTGACAAAGTCTCGAAATCGAGGGGATGAAAACTGATAATGTATAAGTGATTGCATTTTCAGTACCTCTGCTACGCGCAAACAACAATAGTCGAGCTTCTAGCTCCTCGGAGACTAATCTTTCACTGCCCTCTCAGCTCCTGGCCCACGCCCTCCGCTGCAATGTACCGCTGCTGTCACGCGCATGCGCGGTTGCGCGAATTTTAAATATATATACCGACTTTGAGCAATTTTTTTTGCACCCTTTCACAGCGTATCAGCAGCTGAAATTTTGTGTGCAATCATTACTAGATGGGGGCTCTATTTCAGGTCAGGTTTCGACATGACCAACCGGACCATTCCCTTGTGAGAGTGATTATTCAAAATCAAAATCAAAATCTTGGGAATCCTAAAACAAGTTTTCACGATGACCAGGGTTTGATTTTAGATTGGTGGCACTTGCGTCCATGCCGAGGTGAACAACGCACGGAGCTACACTTCCTTTCCTCCATACATCTTTATGATGAGGCAATTACTGAGCAACTTCAAGCTCATTTTGCAGTCAACACTGAGGATTTCAAAGCCACAGTTCCCGCTACTTGTCACTGCTGCCTTGAGAACCAGTTCCATGCACGCGCCAACATATTGCACACTGAACGAACCAGGTGTTTGTTCCAGCAGCAATGATGCAACACAAATTAGTTCTAAGGTGGTTTCATTTGCGTCGCAGGATACCGACAGATTTTATTCAATCCCTACAACCAACCAACATCTCTTAGACTCCCAACAAATGCGATGAAGATGCTTTTGCTACTGAGGAGAAAACAAGAGTGGCCTGACCTTGACACGACGACAAAATGCCACGAGTCACATTGCAGAAGACGTAAGTTCTTAAAATTCACTTCTTTGAATAATGTTGTTATGAATCGTGAGGATTCAACAGTTGTCATATAAATTTTAATTCCAAATTCCTACTGAACCATAACAAAATTTAAAATTTCATTCTATATTAACATTCAGGAATCACATAAATATTCCTTCATTGAAAGCTCATTAAATAAAGGGTCTGATAATTTTGTTGCGATTGTTACAAAACATTAATACGTTTCAGATATTGGGGATGTGTGGGTCCCACAGCCCATGGCACGGAACAAACTAACCTATCAAAGCTACCGATGATGATCGAGCATTTCACTATCCTTCTCCCAAGCAAACAAGAAATGCCTTCTAGATGTACTCTGTTCATTCAATGAATTGCCAAAACATGATTAATAAAAGCACTTATTGAAGAATGTACTCCAAGCAGGAACATTTCGACTTTAAAATCAATGTATGAATGAATTCCCAACTGTCAGAAGACTACCGCCATCCCATCTAATGAGCATTCACCGAACTAATAATTCCAGCTCCTGTAGCTCAGCAGGTAAATCCATTACCACCGTGGGACCCTACAGTTCCAGCAGATAAAAGGTGGCCATATTGAATCAATGAATTGTAACTCTCTCAGGGTTTACAAAACGTTCTGGAATCTGCCATCAGTTACAAAAGAATGTTGCTCCATCATTCAACTCACTGCAGATGTTGAATAAAAACGATTGGGAACAGCAAGGAGAGACACGAAGACAGAAGGAGTCATCAACCTCCACTGACTTCGAAAACAAGCAGAATCCAGATATCTGTACCAACATCATCATTGGTATCACCTTAGTCAGTCAAAGATTCTACTGCACAGCACAAACGCTTCTCAAGTCCGTTTACAACACACATTATTTTGCACTCCATCAACTGACAAATTTACAAAATTCTAGGTTCACTACGTTTTATGGCGTCTACTCCAGTATCTACAGAAGAAATGAGGCACTTGCCGCACCAGTAGGAACTTACAGAGGGGTATTCCTACGATGTCAATGGCAGGATTCTAAGGAGACCAAGCAGCACCGAGTCATGGGACCCACACGACTCCACAGCGATCTCCACGACCGTTTCACGGAGATGCAACACGTAATGACTGAAACAGAGAGAAACACCGTACAACAACACATGGAGGAAATTAGACATTAAAGTCGTGCCTGCGACAGAGTCCCATACCACGCAGACTGTCACGTTTCCCCGCACAGTGCCACATCTTTAGCAATCCATCTCCTTATTCAAGCTGGTAAATAAGGACTTGCTGCCTCTGATAAGGTTTCCATTTTTTTAATTTACGCTAAAATGGTGGATAAGTGATGCAGGAATAGGCACTATAACTTAATCAAGGTAGACATAAAAATACTTCAAAAAATTACAAGCCTGAACGCATGCATTAAAAAATTTAGAACAGCCTGTGTTAGCTGTAACACTAGAAAGCAGTAGCTGAATTCAGGTTTACCAACATTCCCAATACAAAATAAATGTTTACATACCAAAAATCTACAAATTATCAGAAGCGACAAGAAATTCCTTACTGATAGGAGGAGCGTCAAATAAGGTGGGAGGAGACCAAAGGAACCCCTCTCCAGTGACAGCGACACAACCTCAGGACAATAATGTGTTTATTAAATAAGAATCAGCTCATTCTGCCCCGTTTTCCATTAAGGTGCGACTTAAGCGTGAAGTACACATTAAAAAGAGTTCACTGTGCCAACACTAAGCTTCTAATGAAGTTACCACTGAATACTTTATGAATTCTCCTTTTACCTTACCTGAGTTTCCAGCCTGATCCAACAGAGGGTGACACATCATCAAACACCTCCTCCTGCAAACAATACTTCAGCTGCTCAACTTCCTTCTGCTCTAGGGGAAACACACATTTCCGGTCACCACAACCGCCTCCCGTTTCCTCTCCCACCAGCGACAATGTCCTGAAATGCATTTAATCGCTTGTCAGTTGATATGGCAACAACTGTGAACGGAGATGTTAACACCTTCACATTTCTGCGAATTTAATCGCTTGTCAGTTGATATGGCAAGAACTGTGAACTACAAGGCATTTGGAACGGAGATGTTAACACCTTCACATTTCTGCGAACACTTGAACCTGTGAGTGTCATAACAAAGAATTTATTTCCAAGCTTAGAACAATCTACCAAGGAGTTAGTCAGCACACGGTGCTGAAGCCGATTTTTGTCATGCCGTGGAAGGCGGAACCATAACTGTCTTCCTACAATGTTTAAATGATGTGCTCAGGCTTGTGACCAACGCAACAGAGTAGGTACTGGTGACACCTTGACATTTGAGGCACGCTGAAGCAAAGGGCAGCAAGCCTCACTGACAAACATACCTGCAGACTCCTTCACTGTCCTCTGTCAGCAGCAGCAAGTTCAGTGTCGGGTTGCGCTTGTCTGTTGTTTTCGTCGCAAGTGAAACTAGGATCTGTCCCTCACAATCAAATCTGCAAACGAAGATCCTAAAAGGATAAAATATGAATGCATCAGGTCTGAAGTCTGGTGTCAGCAGTTCTGAGGAAGAAACCGCAACAGGCAGACCAACATATAACATTTTTTAAAAATTCATATGTGGGAGGAAACTTCTCTACCTCAAGTCAAAAGAAAATTCCTATCAGTAATTAAAGAAATTAAAAGAAGAGTCGTTCATGGTTACAAAACTGTTTCTGTGAGACTGGTGATGGCTTTCTGTCACTCGTACGAATTCCGAGATGTACTTAGTCACCATACACTTTCCTTCCTGCCCCCTTTCAAGACACATCATTCAATAAAGAATATGTGTGAATTAATTAAAAGTGTGCTTTTAAAATTCTCACCTCTGAGACTTTTGTTTGCTACAGGACCGACTGATCTGCAAGCAGCCGCCCCCAGTGAATGCATCCTGGGAGCAATGCTGGACACAGCCCGTCGTGATGAGTGGCAGCACCTCTGCGTCAACACAACCAGCGCCTGCTTTCAATATGGGTTCAACGAAGCTGTCACTCAAGCAAGAAGGGACAGTAGGCTGGTATTGCTGCTTGCTCAGGTTGTACCATGGAGCGTCTGACACCACCTGCAACGGAATTTAACAGACTGTCTTGTATTTTATGATCGTACAATGAACATTAGTTAGAACCTAAAGCCTCACATTACCAGATATTTGACCCTTTTCATGCTGGCTTTTAGAAACCTTATTTCCACAGTAATACACAATTTATATTATTGGGAAGCCATAACCCACATAAAATAGAATCAATGCATGCACAGTTTGAATGAAGTCGTACCTGTGCTTAATTAAGCACATGCCTTACAGACATAAGGAAGAGTGGAGGTTTAATTGCTTTCATGTCCCAGCCACTTTACACCCCCAAAAAAAGAGCCCCTGAAATCCATTGGAGAGAAGACTGGGTTAGCCCCACAGACTATCTGTACTCAGTAACAAAAAGAAAAAGTTTATAACCCTGCAGCGGATCAAACTCCAGTTGCCCGAATCATAGTGTAGTATATTGACTGAGCTGTACTCACAGCTTCCATAACAACAGCATAATTATGTCACTGATACTGTAGTGTGTCAACATAACAGCAACATAAATTAAACAATCGCTACACACTTGTCAAACTTCACCGACCTGTCCATTACGATACAGCTTCTCTCCGTAACCCTGGCAGAAAGTAGTGCTAAATGGCAGTCGGGCTGGTCCATGTATATACAGGTAGGGCCACAGTTTCTGCCAGAATGCATACTCTAGGTGCACAAAGTGTGAACTGCCAAGATATTCATGCACCCAGCTTGGAGCAAACAGGGCCAGTGACAGGTTGTACTTGCGTGCCAATTCAACAGCCTGAAACACCCAAAAATTTAAAACTTCATTTTTTTTTTGTTCATTTAATTTTAAGTACAGCACTTCAGTCCCAGCCACATGGACACAGAAACCACATGATTACCAGATCGTCACAGTGGCGTGTGATTAAAAGACAAATTTTTGCACAATATTTCTTGCTCAGGAACAGTACACTCTACCAAGATTATGTCAGGCGGTGTGGCAGACAAATAAATACTACTCGGTACCACCAACAATTATATGTGGGACACCATTAGGATTTCACATTTCTGTGCTTGCTTTGCATTTGCACTTCATAACTTGACAAAGACAAAAAAAAAAGAGAAGAGTAATCAATAATTTTATTAATTTCTTTTAACTGTATAATTATCCCAAATCTAATATATGGATTCTTGCCTGCAAGTTACAACTTATCAAAAGATCTAAAGAAAAACTATTTCAGCCAATAAACTGGGAAAAGATGGACTATATCAGATATCAAGATTCCGTATCTTGCCACTTTCTAGTCACCCTTCCAAAGTATCAAATTTTTGAACACAAGTAATAAGTTTCACCTGGCAGGAGTTGAAACCACCACCCCCATAGCAGTTGCGTCCAAATACATCGACACCTACATATACGTCTAGGTGACGGGCACCAGCATTCTCTACGGATTTCTTCAGATTGTCTTCCTTCCATGTGTAGTTCAAAAATATTCCATCACAATTATTGAAGAAAGGCCTGCAAAAATGTTAAAATTCTTGATTTATGATAGCCATGCCACACTACCATCACTATGAACAACATAACCAGTAGCAAGAAACTGACAATGGTTAGTACACACTACCATCACTATGAACAACATAATCAGTACCAAGAAACTGACAATGGTTAGTGAGAAAATCTACATTAGTTGTGGCTAGACATAACCTGAGACTCCTGACCATAAATAAGGCCAAGAAGACACCTTTAAGAACATCAAGTTGTGCTTACACAGAAGACTACCTATATTTGCACACTACTTAATATTCACATATACAAAGACTGGCTAAATAAATCAGGAGATTGAATAATAACACTGTTTGTCACCTGTTCAGATTGTTAAGTTCATTCTGCCACTCAAGTTTTCCTTCCTTCGTGACGCTGTCATACCAGATTACCTCTGCATAAGGTATCTTAGAATGAAGTCTGCTGTGGATCAACTTAACAAACAGCTCCAGTCTGGTAACATATTCTGGTGGAATATTATTTTCCACATTCAACAAGTAACCATCAAAACCAAAGTGACAACAGATGGCGACCAGGTCATTTACAAAGTCTTCAACAGTGCCATCACTTTCCAGTATTTCACCCCACACTTTCTTCCCATCATCCCACTCTGTAATCAGGGTTCCTATAACAAATGTTCAGTCCATAGACACACTGAGCTAATCCATCTCAATCATTCAGATAGTATTACAGTTTAATCCAAAGAAAAAATGGAACAAAAAGAACAGCTAAAGGAAAAGATGCAAACTGTATATAGCAATGGCAGTTTCAGATTTGTTATAGGGAAATGAACACCAATGTACAGAAATAAAAACATATTCTATCAGCAGAAGAAAAGTTCATAAAGAAGTACTATAGGATATGGCTAAATAACCAAATTAGAAGAAAGTAGCAAACTCACACCACACATGCAAATGCCGAACTCAATTCATGGAGCAATGTGATGTAAAAAATATACATATTTGATATAACAGGGCAGCATCACTGTAGTGAAGTTATTACTTCTAGAACGTAAAAATGACAATGAATGCAAGGATCACATTAATGCCTCCTTTAATTTTTATATCATGATTTACATAACCTATTAAGCATTGATTACTGTTAATTGTGAAGCTAGATTAATTCAAACTACAAATCATGCTATCCATTTCCAATCAATTATCAAAACTTATCAAATACAATGACAGATAAAGGGCTCACATACCTAGAACTTTCGTGCCATGTAAGTGTGCAGAGTTTATCCAAACAGGTGGTGGAATAGTAACCAGCTGATGGCTGAAGTAGACAAATGTGTCAATGCCAGCCCAATGGAAAAAGCGATACTCAGCATGCCTCATGCTTCCATTCACAAACCTGAAGACAAAACCCAACTAAAAGATATAATTAACCTATTTCACGTACACAGCATTAACAGTAACTACCATCCTGTCAGGCGTCTGAATACTAGAACAGTTAACTAGAAAAATTAAAGTCCTTACCTGTCCTCTGTATATCCTCCTTTGAGGTCGTGACAAAAAATAGTTTTTGGTACATCATTCCTTTTCCTACGCCGCTTGAGCAAATCCGTATATACAGAATTACAATGCAAATCTTGTCCAGAATAACAAAAAACTGAATTATCTGAAAAATCAAGAACGCTATCTCGCCAGCTTGGACGGAAACACTTCAACTTCTGAACGTCGATGTAAGACTGTATCGGAGTACAAATACTTCCGTCTCCATTCCATTCGAATCTCTCGTTTGAGAGTTCTTCTTTACAGTCAGACATTTTTGTACATTAACGCTATATAAAGAAGACAAAATTTTCTTTACACACTAAATCCATATACTACAGCGTCTCCTGCTCTATAAGCTCCGATACCCTCATGTACTCCGCAGCCACTAGAATGAATCAATTTCAAGATTAAAGATGGCTGTCTTCTAGGTTTTGTGCTTACAGGGCGCAGGCGCATCAACCCAGAAGACAGCCATCTTCAGACTAAATTCTACAATTACAAAATTACTTATCTGATTTGACAGCGTACATAAGAACATGTAAATTTACTAGTACGTATTACTTAATTCAACAGCACAAGTATATAATTTTCTGTTCGAATGTAAACGAAACATACCCAAGTCTGTTTAAAAAAACTGTGGATAGAATGTTGGCAGTTTTTCCCGCTACGTGGCAGACCGGAATTAAGTTTCAGTTGAAATAACAAATGCTAAAACGACACAAAGCCCCTACGGTTTTATGTCACTTTTACGTTCACGTACATAATTAGGTAATGTGCATTTGCAATTAACGAATGACCAAAAATACCTCTTAAAATAGTTTCTTTATGCAACTCTTGGATAACTTTACATCATAAATATTCCACCAGTATACTGCATGCCACATCCTGAGAGTTCATGTACATTTTCACCTGATTTCTGTTTATAACCACATTAAAGCAATAGTGGACCCTAGTCAAAACATATTCTTTGGGTATCCTCGCTGTAATTTCCTTAAAGAAAATACCTTACAAATGATACAAATACAGAATCCATTTATATTCAAAGCAATAAATGCAGTAAAAGGTTAAAAACACAAATTTAAAAATTATCCTTTCCACATATAATGCTCAGATATGTGATCAAAGCTTCTGTGCTGTAACCAGTCGACTGCCTTCTAGAATGTTGTGCCAGGTAGTCTTATACAAAATTAAATAAGATTCAGAGTTCTGAAATGTTGGTCAAATTCTACAAGACTACACAATATAAATGCATCCCAGAAGAGTCATTTTCATACGTATTAAGAAACTGAAATATCATAATTCCACAAATGTTCACAAATTTTTATTTATGATGAATGCTACATGATTTTGGATATTTTTCATAATACGTGTATTATGCTGTAGTAATATTATTTTCCAAGAACAAATTCAGCAAAAGATGGATTCCTTCAGAAGTATTATAATGATACAAAGTTCAAAAACTGATACATCACTGTAATGGAATTGTGATTATACACACAAGTTAGAAAATGTGATAATGGAGTAATAAGTGGTGTAAAGCGCATTCTATGAAAAATATATGGATCTGAATTTAGTACAAGATAAAAGAAATGGCGATAACAAATACTATTTGTCATAGAAATCATTCAGAATTTAGTGGTCTGTTAAACTATCACAGTTTTTGGAAATAACATATAACTCACTCCATGGTACTTGATGATCCTTACAAAGTAGACAGTTGATCAGCTGGTCAGAAAATAATTCCGTGTTCTTAAGGAACCCAACGGTTGATTACCTTTTCCAAAAAGCCTGTCATTGGACCCAATTCTCATCCATTTGATCTTACTGTCCCATCTATGCCTCCCTCCTAAGTCCTCCATGTGATCACCTTGTTTGAGATATCCCCTAAAAAAAGAAAATATGCATTTTTTAAATTTTCTCACTACATGCCACATATATGTGATGATGTCACATAATCCTTGACTTAATCGCCTCAGAAACAATAAGTGAATAAGATGATAAACAAATATTTAAACAAATTTAAACAAATTAAACAAAAAAATAAATAAGTGAATAGTAAAAAATTATTAAGTTATTTATTATGTACTCATATTCAGTCCTCCAGTTGATTTAAACCTGCTGCAAACGTGAAAGAACGAAACAAATAATTGAAGCTGCACAAATGAACTTGAAGCTGAATATTCATGATCACACAAAGAGAGAACTACAATATAATATTATGTGAGAAACAGATGGCCAATATGTGTTGAAGAGCTTACAACAAGTATGAAAAGGGAAAGGCCATGTCGATCAGTCAAATGAAGGACAGCATGTAATCATAAACTACAGTGCGAGGAGTAAGAGGAAGACCAAGTGAATGCTTGGAAGGAGATTTTAAGGCTGGTACAGGCATTAAATTGCCTAATATGTGAAGATGAGAGAACACAGACTGTTTCAGCACCTTAGTTACAAAGATTACACACATCTTAATGTTAGAATCAAGAACGAGGAGACATGAATTCATGGAATAATGGAATGGTTGTTAACCACAAATTGTGGTTTGTGAAACTCAGTACAAGATTTTCAAGAGTTTTATTTCCATTAGATTATGATGGTGAAAAACAAAACATTTAGTTTAAAAACATACATCCAAAAAGAAGACAGAATGTCCTGGAAGACGTCCCATGATATGAGGAAGGGAAAGGTTATTTCTACACACACTTACAAGTAACAAAACAATTAAGAGTTCTAAGTTATGCCATCAGAAACTTCATGACAAGAACAGGTTTGCCAGTCAGTTTTATTATTCTAAACTACACATACTTCATAGAAACGTTTTAAATGATTTTCTTTTTGATATCACATGTTATTTCTTATTCACGATATAACTGATATTAAAACTACTTCCAATGTTCATATGTGTCCACTTATCCACTTCATTCCTTGGTCATTGTATGGAATATTGATCTTTGCTTAATTTAAAATATATCTTAGCCCTCCCCATGCAGTGTTAATATATCTAAAATAGACAAATTATTTTAATGGTAAACCAGTGAAGAAAACTGATATAAATAAATACAGGTTGTTATAAACTTAACATATCTGTTAAATATTTAATAAATTTCTTCAACTCTTGCAGTTCAATTATACTTATCATTAAATTCAACAGAAGTTATTTTACAGAAAATAATATTTAAAATTAATTTCTGAATGATCATATAGATGTGTAATTCTCTTTACTGGTAATGCCCATTTAAATAAATTATCCTACTTCATACCACATGTTTACATCTGTTATCTACAAACTCCATTTCTATGGTACCACAAATGTTCATGTTGAAGAGACACATCAAACATTGTAAAATGTAAGAAGGAAGAAGTTGTTATTCAAGTGTTTTAGGCCCTACGTAAGAGACTGACATTCACTACTATGAATGGTTGTCTACAATATCACTCATCACAGACCAATGACATATCTTAAAATATTATTGTTATTTGATTTTAAACTCTCACAAACTATATAAAATCATAAAATATCACACAAATGTGTTATAACCCTACATTTATAATAAGATCAAACGTGATTATATGTATACAATTATCAACTATCACTAGTTCAGTATTTGATTCTTGCTTTGTATGAACTGCAACTCTCCTCTCTTATGAGCATGGGGCTTAAACATGTTACGATATATGAATATCCTCCTTGACTCATTCGGCGGCTACCATAACTGTTCCTTCTATTCTATAGCATACTATAAACTTTTAACAAGCCCCTAGCACAACCACCAACCTGGAAGATAAGGGCTTTTCCATCCATCAGACAGACCATGTTCTCCTCAGCTGCAGTGGTCCACACTTTCCTGGTTTTAGGTTGGGGTACCTACCCTTAGCCAAAAGTCCCAGTTATGGAGTGCTGGAATGTTCTGTCTCTAGCCTACAAATAATTCCTCAAAGCAACAAAATTCTGTTTCAGGTAACACTTTTAATAGTGAACACCTTAAAAACATGAAGACACTTGCACAACAACAGGTTAGTACACTTTGTGTGTTTTCTAACCTTAATGTTGCACATTGGAAGATGGCTATTGTCATTTAATGTTATTCCCCAGGCTCAAAAGAAGAAACAAATTCTAGCATGTTATAAAAGCTTGCATTGACCATATTCAATTCCATAACATATGTATGGTAAGGTTAAACTCACTTTGGTACCATTCGTTTAACATAACGATCCTACACAATATAATTCTATTCTCAATGCCCTTGTTCCTACATGAACTTCCAGCTGAATACAACATAACTGCAGTCTTCAAATTTAGTTTTTGCAAACATCACTTTGCTGCTGAAAATTTCACTAGGTGTCACACATTTGAAATATAAACTGCATTGAGTGGCAATTTAATTTGAGAAGTGGAGATATAGCTCCTGATGAGTTGGTGGGGGTTTAATACAGGACAAATGTAGATGAAGAGTTCCACATTTGTGCAAAGGACGTTTACAACATAATTTTTAAGTTTAAATTTTAAGAGTTCTGTAATGAAATACCATAAGATTATCAACTAGATAAAAATCATGACTGAACCCCTGCATCATGGAACAAGCTCACTGAGAAAAGCTATAAGTAATTAATTATAAAATCAATAAACTGGCTTCTTGTTGTTTTGTAACATAGCTCAAAATAATATTCACTAAAATACTTACAAATTTAATCTGTATAGATCTGGAAATAATAAACAAAGGTCTGTAAAAAACAAATCCTCAGTGCCATCTGTTGAAAAACCACTGTCCAAAATAGCCTACTCAAAAACAAGATTCCATGTTTACCTCATGAAGCCTAGATGAGAAATGCAGCACACAGCAAAGTACGAGTAACATATTGTCTCCAATGGTGACACCTAGTAGGAGAAAGCTGAAATTTCAGAACAATGACACTGCTCTATATTTTATGAAAAAAACTCATCGGCAGAAAAAAAAGTTATGACTACACTCCAATGGTTATACTCTTAAAAACTAATTTTTAGATGTTATTTGATGGGTTATGGGAGCTTATGAACAATTATTTTCAACTGTATGCCAGAAATATAATGCAATAATTTCTTTGCATTGTCCCAATTTTATGTTTCAGTCCAAAAATCACAATATTGCATTCTGTCTCCCACATTTACTGTCTCAGATTATCTTTCTATGTTAATGTGGCCCCAGTTTCTTAATAAAGGCTGTACAACTGGTACTTCAGAGCACATATCGCTACTGTCAGGTAAAGGAAATTAGTCTATATGGTTCTTTTGGGACTGACCCTGGTTCAATCAAAACAATAATATTTATATTTACAATTTAGTTATCTGTAATGGAAAGTGGTACCATAAATTCATTCTATCATATTAATTAACAGCTCACATCTGTTACAACAAGAATACACCCAAACAAGTAACTCTGGTAACTGTAATTACATGGAAGGGTTAGTTCACCAAACATATCTGTAGCTAAAACAAAAGAGCTCTGGTTGTACCGTGGGTTAGGCCGCCAATTTAAGTGTCAGATTTCCACAGGTGTGTTAGATATACTGGTAGTAGCGAAGTTACTGAAATTAAAATTTCACAGCGAGTGTGGCAAGCAGATAGGAATTTAAAACCAACATTTTCAAGAGAACATGGACAGCGGACAAGCACTGATCATGTTATTGTATTTCTGTTCGGTATCAAATTCAGCATAATGACCATGTGCAAATACTAGAAGGCTACAGTCAATTAGATGCAGTTATAACAATAGAATAATGTAGTACCTCGAGTCACAATGATGGTGACTGATATACAAATTTCAAAGTTGACATTTAATTTGCATTTTAACTTTAAAACAGTAGCAGCTTGTGAGCCTCTACAGAGCCAATAAGTTTGTAAGACCACAGAATATCATACATGAAATTACAGAAATTTGAATACTCTTATCTATATTACTAAATCATTCTTATTTACTACAAATGATTTATCAGACTTTGTCACCCATATTTTGGTAAGGCTGGTTGATCTAGCTACGTTAACATACTGTAATATTACATTTAAAATGTTTCCCTGTTTTTCAGAACTGTAACATACATAATATTTTAAGCATATGTTTGAATAACGACAGTTTGACCCTACCTGGATTCTACCATATTTATAATCATGATGATCCGCCATAAACCGACCTTTAACTTCACAGTCACTGAAGCTGCAGCTCTCTCTTTGCCAGGCAGGACATTAAAACGTGTCAACATCAAACATGTCAAGGCTGCTGCTGGACCTATAGTCATCGTGCGTCGCGCAGTCCTTGGGGCTGCAAGTGACTCGCGCCTCATCATCACACACGCACTCCAGACACGTCCCGGTGTCCCGGGGCAGCACCTCTCCCACCTTGTACTCTGTTCCTGTAACAGGAGTCACACAGTAAGAGATGAGATGAGTACTTGCTGCTTCTTTGTCTTAGCTTCAGAGAAGTGAACGTAATTTGAAGCAGCTATTTTAATGAAGCAAGAGTGCAGTATGAAGGAAAGAAGACTGAACAGTTTTGCTGGCAAATGTCAGACGTACACCAAAATCGTTCATGCCAGTTGAGTGTATGAAACAACAGGAAGTGAAAGGAGAATGGAGAAAAACAGAACGACAGGCTTCATAAAACACACACACACACATATATATATATATATATATATATTTTTTTTTCACCAAACATCATTAGCTTCAGATCAAATGAAGGAAGATCAGATGTGTGGGGCATGTAGCATGCATAGAGACATGCAAAATTTTAGTCTGAATACATAAAGCAAAAGAATACTTGGGAAACTGAGGCACAGATAGAAGGATAATGTTAAAAGGATATTAGACAAAAAGACAATGTCAGCGTGAGGACTGAATTCAACTGTCCCAGGACTGGGCTCAATGACGGACTGAACAGAGGCTCTGGACCCATAAAAGAAGGAAAATTCTTGTCCATAAAGTTTTGAAGGAAGGCCCCGGCCAAGCAGCTGGCACAGCACCATTATGGCAGTCTGTGTCTGTGCCGTTCAATACCAGAATGTGTTATGTGTGGGGCGTCACTGGAGGACGACATACCCATAACAGAACACGT